TGGTGAAGCAGATGCAGCCCCCAGCACAGATGCACAATAATAATGCTCCAACCAGGGAGCGCGGGCCCAGTTTGGAACACTTTGAGTCAATGATGGGTCTCCTCTACTGCATATCAGAGTCACCATTTCCTGCACCCACGTAGTGCCTTTTAAGGAAAAATGAAGGGTGTAAAAACACAAATACAAACTTCAATAAATTTATGTTGAAATAGCTAAAACTTAGCTTTACAGAAAAACTCATTATTTTCTGAAGTTATTTAAAGACACTGAAGGTGTCACGATGCTCCACCATACCTGACTTGGGATAAGAGACAATCAGAATGTCTTGATCCTGAAATGGGAAACTGATGGCGAACTGCAAAGATTCCAGTGTGTGCAAGTGTCCAGGAAATGAAATCCCCTCAAATATCTCTGTGACATCCAACCTGTCCATCATTCCAAATCAGTACAACTAATCTATTTTCTTTTTCTATTTCAGCTCCCTGTTGCATTAACGTCTCGGTCCTCCACCACAGCCTGCTTCTGCTTGTCTCTCAGCTCTGTCTTAGTGGCAGTTTATATGAGCGATGATGAATGGTAAAATGACTCCAAACGCTGCAATGAAAAAACAGGAGGTAAATTAATTTGATTCATGGGTGTCCCTTTGTGTGTGTGCGTGTGTGGGTGTGTGCTGATTAACATATCAATTCTCAGTAACCCTTGGAAGTTCTGCTGAAGTCAATGCAGGGCAAAGTATATATATATATATATATAGATAGATAGATAAATATATCTGTTCACAGGTGTTACAGCTGTTAAGGTTGTTTTCAAGTCCACTTTCTGATATTGAGCTTACTGAGAAGACAGGTAAAAGATAACACTCAATGTTAATGAATTGTTCAGTTACACATGTGGTGATAAAAATACTGACTCATTATTAAATATTGATTTTCTTTTTTTTCTCAGTAAACCTTCCTTCAGCCCAATGGTGCTTGAATCTAAAATGTTTTGACAGAATGAAAAAAAAAAACTCTAAATAGAGTCATTTTCTTATGACAAAAAAGATGAAAAGAGTAGAAAATGTCATATACGTGATACGTCACTAGAGATGCATGTTGCCCAGGACATAGAAAATGTCATATAGGTCACTAGAGATGCATGTTGCCCAGGACAAGGTTATTGTCAAATCTGTCTCTCCTGTGCAAGTTTAGTTTAGTTTTATCACACTCACCTGTGTCCTGTGATTCCCTGTTGGCGAGACCCACTCTGTGCTGAGCAGCCAAAGGAGACAGACAACTGTAGGGAAGTGGACCAGTCAGTTCTCAGAAACAGAATGCAGTTGTTACTAAGATTAAATAATCTCTGCTGTAAGGATATCTTCAACATCTTCAATGTTTCTTGTCACTCAATATTCACTTTTCTTCTACGGTACATATATTTGTGTTGTCTTTATATATTGTGTCAGGAAACTTTCTCTGTTAGATAGGACTGTCTGTCAGTTCATACCCCCATTTCCTAACACACAAATAATTCAAATAAAGAGCAAATAAAAATCTTATCAAATAAAGAATCAAATACGATCTGTAAACACTCAGCATGCACACCTTTGTTTCCAGTACTTCTCCTTTTAGTACAGCATAACAACAGCATTTAATAACAGTATAAATTGATATGGAAACTCAATATAATGAATATATTGTAAGGATTGAATAAATGTATTTACATATTTCTGGATCTACTGTAGCTGTTTCTGTGCTTTTTGTTGCAGAATCAACTCAAACGGCAGTAATAGTTGAGATGAGTTGAAATAATTTGCGTTTTAATTACCTTGTTGGTGCAAAATGTCGGTTTAATATCCTTCAATTTAGTCTTAAAAATTAAGAACTATACATTTGTTTATCTGTCCTAGCTTTTGTCGACTGAAGAATTTGAACTTGAACCATTATGGTTGTGGTCCTGTGATAATTCCCCCTGCAAACATGTGGAAATCATCATAAATTTATTCCCACCAGCTCAGAGGGCTAAAATCTTCTGTCTGCGCCACACTCTTTACTGTATTCCCACCAGCTCAGAGGGCTAAAGTATGTTTCACATCCACATTAACTTCACACTCTCTTATTTTCTATCTTCTGTCTGCGCCACACTCTTTACTCTTTTATATCATTTTCCAGCTGCAGTTAAAAGCTGTAGCTTTTAGGAATGAGTGAAATCTAGGGGAAAAAATTGTGGACTACCCTTATTTTTGTTCCCATGATAGAAATAAATGTTATCTCTGTTAAATATTATGACTGGCTTGAATCCTGACAGTGTCAGCCCTGCTGGTAATCGCTCCAAGGTGTGTCATGGTTGTGTTGAAGGTTGTATATAATACACCAGCAAAGCTCTATTTGTTTTTGTTACACAAACGAAAGACATAATAAACATGAAATTAAAAAAATTACAGCGTAAATGGCATCTTATTTGGTTCTCACTATCAATTACTTCTTAATCACACACAGATAGAATAGAATATGTATTGTCTTTATTATCACTGTAACACAGGGGTACGACGAAATTGGGTGCTCCCACACAGCCACGATGCACCACAACAGGAGAAGAAAAGAACATATATACGACAATATATACAGAAAACCAACCTCGTAATGTAACCCATAAAGACACTGTAAAAAGATACCAGGAGGTAGTGCAGGTTGAGAGGAACAGAGGACATATACATAATAAATATTTTTAATACAAATTTTAATGATAAAATGGTGCATTTGTGCAAAATAAATTTTAAAGTGATCCGTGTCTGTAAACATGGTTGAGGTCGTTTTTTCCATTCGTCTGGTCGTGTTACCTGTTAATTAATGTAAAGTTATTGACCCGAGCGAGTACCAATAGGGTCCAATCACAACTGCGTCCCGGCGGGATTCGGACTTCGCTCCTTCGTTCCGCATCACCAAGGTTCCTCCTGGAAACTTTTCAAAACATATATACGTCCTGTACCGAACGGTTGTGGGCAAATACACTTACCAGTAACAGTACCGGTTTTACGAGTTCTGATGGTAAAATAACTAAACGGAAAAGAAGGAGGGACGTAAAGTGAGGCGATTTAAAGGCACTCAATTACTCACACGCCAAACAGTCAATCGATGTGTGTATAGACGTTACACGAAAATAGATAACCTGATTCGATCTGGTTCAGATTATTTTTCTAAACTTATTTATTTAAGAAAGTTTTGTGAGTTTAACAGAAATGCTGCGGAGGAATACTTTGACTTATCTGTTGGTAACACTGTGGCTCGCTAGCAGTATGTTCTCCTCAGCTGAGGATGATTTACTGACCAGAGCCATGCGGCTCATGTCTGAGACACCACTCGTTGACGGGTAAGTGAAAAATAATTCTACATGTTATTTGTATGAAGTCTGATATAGGCTGTTTGTCATGAAAACAATCATTACTTTTTTTAAATTCAATTTTGGTTTCAATTGGTCAGTGTTGACGCTTTCAATTTGAATAAATATATAAATAATTTAAATAATGATGGCTTAGGTAATATGAGACAGAATAGAGTGTACTTTTAAAATCACAGCTCTGTGCGTGTAAATGTACTGATATTTAACAGGTCTTTATGAAATTGCAGTGCACTTTTGCTCATCAATATGACTCCCAGGCCTAAATCAGAAGACCTGCATATTATCTGTATGTAACCCTAATCCTAGTCTTGTAAATCAAATATGATACAAATTGGTTTATAGAGCAAAATGTGCACAAACTGCAGAAGTAGTACATAGAGGAATAATCGCCACTTTGTGGGTGTGTATTTAGTGAAAAAACCTTTTTGAAATAAAATAAATGTATAATTCCATTTTATTATTCTGGAATTATGTGGTTAAATCCACAATTGATGTGAGAATCCATTGTTATCCCTTCATCACAACCTAGATATCCATCCATAACACACAGCTGTATACTGATTGACTAAGATATACATTAGAAGGCAGATTTATACACAATAAAAGTCAATGATTAATTAGAATTCATTTTTGCTCTTGAATATTTCATTTTTAAAAATTTTGGGACACTGATGTGGCCCCTTACTTTAACGACAGCAGCAGCAGTGGCGCTCAGCTCATTTGAGTTTGAGACCATTGGTCTAGAATAATATTAAAGAGAATCTCTGTCCCTTTTATTGCCAAAGTTGTGTTCTGATGCTACTTTGCAAAGTTTACTTTCTTATTTTTCAGTCATAACGATTTACCCTGGCAACTTCGAAAGCAATTCAACAACCAGCTCAATCAAGTGGATCTCAACAGCCTGGAAAGTACACACACGAACATCCCCAAGATCAAGGAGGGACGACTGGGAGCCCAGGTACACAGAGTAGGCTGTATGTGGAAAATGAAAATGTGAAAAAAAAGATTCTTCAAGAATTCTTTAAGAAAAGATGAAGCCCATAAAGTGGGGCTTTAAGGTGACAAAATGCTTCTCTTTTGCCCTAACCGAGGACTGATATGAGTAAGATTCAAAAGCTCTTTCTGTTGGGAAAAGAAAAAAAAATGGTGCAAAATCAAAACCTTTTGCACCCTCAATAATTGAAAAAAATTGAATCCACGTTTGGTTAACCTTCCTATTATATTAATGGTTCAATTTGAACCATTTCAGTTTTTGTGTTAAACAAAGTATTGGTTATCTCTTCTTTTTTTCTTGAAAACTGCTGTGCAAAATCTGGACACTTTAATGTGTCGTGGAATGACGGTGCGGGTCATTTTGACCAGACGGTGTAAATCTGTCATAGGCCCAGTTATTATTATTTTATTACTCTAAAATTACTCATGAGATATATACAGAAATGCATATTGTTTGCGTAGATTTGAAACAATCCATGATATTTTAGACATGTTACCTACTGCAGCTGTGTATGCTGAAGACTGTTTCCCCCCCACAGTTCAGTAACTCATGTCTGATTTCCCTGTTTCCTCCCCACAGTTCAGTAACTCATGTCTGATCTTCGCTCTTGTCTCAGTTCTGGTCAGCATACGTTCCTTGCGATACTCAATTCAAAGATGCGGTCAGACAAACACTGGAGCAGATTGACGTGGTCCACAGGATGTGCCAAAAATACCCAGACACTTTCATGTTTGCCACCAGTAGCCAAGGTATGTAGTTATCACGTGGGAAAAAGCAGCACCACCTGTGGTTTCTGGAATATAAACACCCATATTTCCTGTCTGGACAGATATCCTAACGGCATTCAAAATGAACAAGACAGCCAGTCTGATCGGAGTGGAGGGAGGTCACTCCATAGACAGCAGCATGGGCACACTACGGACCATGTATGATTTGGGGGTCCGTTATCTTACCCTCACACACTCCTGCAACACACCCTGGTAAGATTCAGCAGTTAAATAAGTGAAAGTACAAACATACTGTACATGCCAAGGTAGTAAGGCATGTTTTGGG